GTTCCTGATGCTGCCAGAAAACAGGAGGGGGGACAAGGAGGCACAAAGATGCTGCAGTGCAAGTCAGGCTTGGGATGATGTTTGTTGCCTTAAAATAGGAAAAAAAGACAGGGGAAAAAAGAAGGTTTGGGTGAAAACACCACGGGACCATCATGGTTTTGTAGCTCTGAGCCCTGGTATTTGTGTTGGGGTTTTGCCCCTTCTTTTCCTGCTGGGAACTCAGGGATTGATTTTAGTTTTATTCCTTTGTTTTTTTGAAGGTCAAAACCATTGTCCAAGTCTGGTGATGATTCTGAGTGGGAATTCTGGGGGGGGAAATTTCTACCAAATCTCTGTTTAGGGTTTTCCCCAGGATGTGCCACAGAGCCAAGGGAGCTCCCGAGGATCTTTCACCCACTCAGGCAGTAATTAACACCACTAAGTCATCAGAACAAGACCAAATGATGATTCTGGCATGTTTATTGGCAAAGAAATCTTGGAAGGGGCCTCATCGATCTGGGTTATGGTGACAGGGAAAATGTATTTATTCTGATGCAGTATGCAAATCAGTGCAGGGTAAACATATGCAAATCATCCCACAGGATGCGCATAATTAAGCTGGTCGGGTAATTCCCCTTAATGGGGAGGGGGTTTCTGCTTAGTTCAGGTTAAATCCCTCCAGAGGTGGGTGGGTTTTGGTTGGGTTTTGGCTGAAAAGCCATGAAACAAACACCTTTGCTGCTCCAGGGATGAAGGCCTCTGGGATTCATGCTAATAAGCCCTTAATTAAGCAGTGGCTGGAGTGTCAGAGCAGCCCTGAGTGAGAGTGAAGGGCGGGGGGGGGCAGCCCAGCACCTCTTCATGGGGCAACTGGGATGGAGGAGAATGGACAGGGAGGCATGGACAGGGCTCCTCCAGGCTCTGCTGGGACAGGGCAGCCAGTGCTCCAGTCCTGGGAGCAGGCAGGCTCCATCCCCACCATCAGGAATGCTCAGCCCTGGGGTTGGGGACATCTCAGTCCTGGGTCCAGGAATGCTCTGGCCCTGGGGTCAGGGATGCCCCAGCTTGGGGTCAGGAGTGATCCAGCCCTGGGACCATGGATGCCCCAGTACTGGGATCAGGGATATCTCAGCCCAGAGGTCACAGATGCTCCATCTGTGGGGTCATGAATACCCTGGTCCCAGGGTCACAGACACTCCATTCCCAGGGCCAGAGGGATGCACCATCCCTGGGAAGAGGGACACTCCATCCCTGGGAAGAGGGACACTCCAACCCTGGGAAGAGGGATGATCCATCCCTGGGAAGAGGGACACTCCATCCCTGGGATGAGGATGCTCTCTGCGATGCAGATCCCAAAACTGGGCATCATGCTCAGGCTGGGGTTGCTGGTCCTCAGCCCACACCCAGCACCTGTGCCTCTGGCCTTGACCCTGAAACCCATCCCTCCTTCCCCTGGGAACAGCTCCCAGCAACTTGGAGCCCCTCATGTCACCCTAGGCAGGACACCACCCAGTGCCCAAGGCCAGAGCCTCAATGGAGCAAACCCAACCCAAGAGCTTCCCCATCCACCACCAGCCAGAACCACACATCCCATTCCCCAACCTTTCCCTCATTCCAAGACATCATCTCGCCTTTGGAGCTCACAAAATTCAGAATTAAGCACCAATTCCTCTTCATTTCCTCATGTAATTCAATTAGCTTTCCATTAAATAGAGATTAAATATCATCTAATCCCCCAACAGAGCAAATAATTGTTTTCCAGTCTTTTGGAAATTATCACTTGCTTATTGTAACTATCAAAATTCATGAGAAGCCTCAGAGCAGGGGTGGGGAAAGGTGGGAGAAGCACTGGAGGAAGGACAGGGAGGGGGTGGCAGGGCCAAGGCTGCCCTTGGTTGAGCCAGGACCTCCCAGTGATGTCCCCATCGTGCCCAGCATGGGGATCACCAGCACCCAGAGCAGGATCTGGCCCATCACACCATGCAGGGGGGGGTTGGGAACAGCATTTGCTTCCAGTTGGGAATGCTGGTGTTGCTGAAGAGTCAAGAACCAGGATGAGTACAGGGATGGGGACAGGGATGGGGACAGGGATGGGGACAGCCACACAGGCCCATGGCAGGCAGTCACTGCCAGCCCCACATTCCCCATGGAAAGGCTGGGAAGCAGCTGGCAGCCCCCTGCCCCCTATTACTCAGAGGCCTTTTATCTGGACCCCAGGGCAGATTTAATTTCTTGTGGAAATCTCTCAAGCAAATACCTCCCTGGGAGGAATAAACCTGTTCAAGAAAACAATTTTCTCTGTGCTCAGATGATGCCTGGGATGCTTTGCTGCTGCTGTGCCCCAGGGTTGGGATGGGAGACAAGAGGGGCCTGTGCTCACCCGGGTGCAACTGGGAACTGGGGGGGAAACAGCCCTGGGGCTGCCCGGCCCCACATCCCCCAGTGCTCTGCTGTGCAGGGTTGGGCATCATCCTGTCCCCAAGCCTGGTGGCAGTGGTGGCCCTGGCAGTGTCCCAGGGGGTGTGCGTGGGTACGTGTGGGTGTGAGTGTGCACGTGTGTGTGGGCATGTTTTTAACACTGTGCACGGGAGTACACGTGTGTGCATGTGTGTGCATGAGTGTGCAGGTGTGTGCACACAGGGCACAACCTTGCAGTCATCAGTTTGCACAGCAATGCCCCCCAGCTGCCCCCCCCCAGGTGCCAGCCCCCCTTGATGGGTGCCAGTGCCTCACGGTGGGTGCCCAGCTCTCCTGGCAGCCCCCCAGGCCCAGAAGTGTGCCCCCCAGCTGGCTGATCCCAGGGGAAGGCTGATCCCAGGGGAAGGTGGCACAGGCCAGCTGTGCTCCCCACTGCCCAGGGGGCCTCTGCAGAGCATCAAACCTGTGCAGCTCCAAGCACCAGCCTGGAGCAAAAGGTCCACAAAAGGTCCTGGCAGCACCATTGTCCTGAGCCACTGACTGCAAGTCCCGTTAGGAGCAGGCAGGTGTTTCTCCTAAATCAATTTCCAGCAGTGCCCCATGTTCATAAGAAACCACCTTGCATCCCAGGGAACAGAGCCATGTTTCTCTGCCTCCTTAAAAGCTGACGGGTCTGTTTTGGCCCCAAACATGTCACCCTCCAGCTGCTCTCTTCTGGCCACAGCATGGAAAGCAGGGACAAAACACACCTTCAAGGGGACTCTGTGCTTCTTCCCTTTTCACTGCACAAAATGAACCACTTTCTCAGCTCCTGAATATCTGTTGGCTACAGCAGATTTGTCCTGGTCAAATGTTGGCCAAGAGTGTGCAAGACAGTCCCATGGCACAGCACTGCTGGGGTGGAAGCACCATGTGTCCATGGTCTCAGCTGGACTGCAGCCCTTGAGAACCCTCCTCTGGGATGGGGCAGGAAGGCAGTGAGGTGAGAAATGCCTGACACCAACTGAGTCAAGGCAGCAAACAAGGGGTGGAGGAAAGGATGAAACGTCTAAGAGCTGAGGCAGACACATTCAGAAGAGAAATGCAGCACGTACTTGTCACAGCAAGTTAATTAACAACAGGCCTGTGGCAAGGGGAAACCCCTTTGCAGCCATGTTTCTCTGCCTCCTTAAAAGCTGACGGGTCTGTTTTGGCCCCAAACATGTCACCCTCCAGCTGCTCTCTTCTGGCCACAGCATGGAAAGCAGGGACAAAACACACCTTCAAGGGGACTCTGTGCTTCTTCCCTTTTCACTGCACAAAATGAACCACTTTCTCAGCTCCTGAATATCTGTTGGCTACAGCAGATTTGTCCTGGTCAAATGTTGGCCAAGAGTGTGCAAGACAGTCCCATGGCACAGCACTGCTGGGGTGGAAGCACCATGTGTCCATGGTCTCAGCTGGACTGCAGCCCTTGAGAACCCTCCTCTGGGATGGGGCAGGAAGGCAGTGAGGTGAGAAATGCCTGACACCAACTGAGCCAAGGCAGCAAACAAGGGGTGGAGGAAAGGATGAAACGTCTAAGAGCTGAGGCAGACACATTCAGAAGAGAAATGCAGCACGTACTTGTCACAGCAAGTTAATTAACAACAGGCCTGTGGCAAGGGGAAACCCCTTTGCATGGTCCCACAAAGACCAGTTCTGAGTCAAGGGCTCAAGGCCAATGTCAGCCTTGGCACAGCCAGGGCAGACCATTCCCTTCCAGCCTTGGGGCATAGCAAGCAGATCTGGGGCAGAAGCTGAGGTCCCCTCCTGAAGCTGAGGCAGGCTGCAGACACTCCTGTGTTGTCCCAGCAGGCAGCCACAGGTCTAGGAGGTATCCCTCTAACCTGCTCAAGGACCTGCCACCACCTCGTGCCACCCGGGTTAGGGAAAGGGGACACACCTCCAAGTCTTGGCCCCCCCACTGCTGACAGGCCTGTCACAGAAAACTCACTCCCTTTACATTTATTTATAGCAGGAGGCTGGATTTTACTCAAAACATAAAAACGGGTTTCAGCAGCAGACCAATAATTATTTCAAGTGTGGTCATTTTTATTGCCATGAATAAAAAATAAAGCTGCTCTTCTGAAGTCACCATCTGTGGTTTCCCCAGGTTATCTACGAGCAAAGGCCTGGATTTAGAACTGTACAATAGAAAAGTGAAACAGAACAATAAATCCCATCCACACAGTTCTTGTAAAAAGCTATCTATTTCAATTTTCACTGTATAAAAACACCAAGAGAATCTTGACAGGGAATATACAAGCCACATGTGGAATCTAAACAATGTTACCAATCTCAAGTGATCTGGGTAAGGGTTTAATAGTTGATGGCGCAGCCAAAACCAAATTCCTTTTAATTCCAAGTTTTCCACCCTCCCCAAAGAAGGGAGGTGTGTGGAAAAATGCTGTACAGTGAGGCCATGCAGACACTGCAGCCTGTGAGAGGGCAGTTGGTCTCATCAAATTGCTTCAAGGTTTTCCCACTGCCACCAGTGGAGGGGCTGGCACAGGTGAGAAGAGTCAACCTGACTCTGTAAACCAAGGACCCCGAGGGCACGAATCCCATCATCTTGTGGGCAGGAATCCCAGCATCTCCTCGTGGGCTTCACTGGATCTCCCCCATGTACAGTCTCTTGTCACTGGATGCAGAGAGGACTGTGGGAGAGAGGGAAGAATATGAAAATGAAACACAACAGTTCAAGGCCTCTGCTAAAGACACCTCTTTGGAGCTGAAGTACTCATGTTGCTCACTGCAAATGACCTAGAAAGCCAAATTTCATTTGCTCCCCCAAAACACTTCATGGAATTACTCCTCTGGCACCTGGTCACCCGCTGTGTGGCTGCTCTTCCTGTCCCGAGGCAGGTCTGACTGTGCCACACAATGTCTGGGCATTACCATGGGGAGGTGTTGACACAGGCTGGTTACACTCTCCAGCGTCCTGAAATGTCATTTTCATGGCAAGGAGGGCTCAGCCGGCCCAGCCGCCGGGATTCCCGGCCACCAGAGGGCACAGCTCGGCCGGGAAAACCTGCCTGGCACTTTTTCCTTTTAGCAGAACTGGCAAAATGCAGCTGGGATCTAAATACCACAGGCCACTGAACCACCTTCACCCAGAAGAGGCTGTGCAGGATTTCAAAACAAGAGTTGAAGGACTGTGTCAGTCCCACTGTCAGTGCTGCTCTTGACACTGACAATGGTTTCACCTGAGTCCAGGAGAGATTATCCCAAGGGAAGTGGAGAATTCAAGCTGCACCAGGGCAGGGTCAGGCTGGACATTAGGAACAAAAATTTTCAGAGCAAGAGTGGTCAGACCCTGGGACAGGCTGCCCAGGGAGGTGGTGGAGTCACCATCCCTGGGTGCGTTGAAGGGTCGTTTGGATGTGGTGTTGGTGGAGATGGTTTAGGGGAGAACTTTGTAGAGCAGGGATGATGGTTGGACTGGGTGATCCCAAGGGGCTTTTCCAACCTGAATGGTTCTATGATTCTCCTACATTACACAGATTAAGATTCAGCTTGACAGGGAGCTGGGCCATCTCTCTAAACTATATTATTACCTAGAAAGGTTGGAGAGATGATCCTTGAGGTCCCTTCCAGCCTGGTGTTCTACGATTTTCAGGATTTCTGCATGAACTCAGACTAGTGTCTGTCACCCTGCAGCATTTTGGCTCCCCACGCAGACCAGCATCATGCAGTGGGTGCAGCAACTGAGAAATGTTCCCAGAAACCAACTGCATCACTCCCATGAAATGCCTGCACACGTTTGTAATTTTTATTTCCAGCTGAGTGATTGATTCACAGAGGAGCTCAGCCGAACACAACTGCAAACAACCTGCTCCAAACTGGAGAGGAAGAGATTGCTCTGCTGTCCCAGCACAGGCCCCGACCTGAAGGCAGGGCAATAAATAAGCAAGGAACAAACCCATAACTCAGGGCCCTGCTGCAGAGACTGTCAGCCCCAGCACAGCCCAGCTCTTGGCTGCACTTTGGGGTCGACTCTTGTCAGTTTTTGGCTGGAGCAATGCAGGGAACTGGCTGATGGTGCCAGTGTTCCCACAGAAACAAACAGCACCCCTATGGTCCCGCCTGGGCCCACACTGAGTGCAGAAGCTGACACCAAACCTGGGCTCAGCTCATGCACAGTGTTAAAATGGTCCTGAAAAAACCACCAGTGCCACGTGCAGGACAGAGTCTTGTTTGCTTCCTACAGCTTTTGGGTAAGTTGGACCCCGGGGTGGAGTCACAATCCCTGGTTGCTAGAACTCCTTAGATAGAATCATGGAATCCCAGACTGCTTTGCTTTGGGAGGGACCTTAAAGACCATCCAGTTCCAACCCCCCTGCATGGGCAGGGACACCTCCCACCAGCCCAGGCTGCTCCAAGCCCCATCCAACCTGCCCTTCAACACTGCCAGGGATGGGGCAGCCACAGCTTCCCTGGACAACCTGGGGTAGGGTCTCACCACCCTCACACCAAAGAATTTCCTCCTAAGATCTCATCTAAATCCTGCCCTCTTGCAGTTTTAATCCATCCCCCCTTGTCCTCTCCCTCCCTGCCCTTGTCCCAAGCCCCTCCCCAGCTTTCCTGGAGCCCCTTCAGGCACTGGAAGCTGCTCTAAGGTCCCCCCAGAGCCTTGTCTTCTCCAGGCTGAGAATAACCATCACTAAAGGCATGGTTATATCCCTGGTGTCCAAACCTAGACACCTCTCAAAACCTTTTTGCATGGCCCTTGGCAAGTCCAGACAAGCTCTAGGCAGCAGCAGCCAAGCCATGGCTCATGGGCACCCTCACACCCCCAGAGTCCTCCTGGGCAGGACACAGGCACAGAGACCCTACGCTCAGCCCAGGACTCCAGGGCACATCCAGCCCAACTCCTGCCTGCAGGAGAGGAGCAGGCAGAAGTCTGCCCACCCTAAATTTGTCTCTGACACTTGGGGCTCTGGGCCCCACACAATTTTGGGGCTGTTTCCCAGAGGATCAGAAGTTCAGCCTGCCCTGTAACTATTTCCCCAGCTGATCTGTGGTGGGGATGACTTACTAATGGGTTCCTCTGGATGGAAAGCCAGCTCATTCACTGATCCAGCATGGCCTGGCAGCTTGTACAAAATCCTCCTGGATGTGGTGTCCCACACATAGACAAACCTACAAGAGAGTCATAATGAGGACAGACATTTGAGAAGGTAAAGCAGGTGCCCCCCCAATGGCTTCTTCCTGCAGCAGTTCCAGCACCTAGGCTGTAGTAGATGCAGCTCTTAGTGTGGATAAACAAGGAGCCTCTCAGGAGCAAAATGCTGCACTGCCAAGTCCAGAAGAGCAGAGGTCTGAGCAGGTAGGAGCTAACATGTCAACTCAATGTTAAAAGCCTCACCACCACCATGGCATGGCAGCCCCACCTTACCCCTCGGGGTGCAGAGATGGATTGGAAAGTGTGGGGCTGTGGAGACCCTCAACAGAGCAGCAGCTCAGTGGGTACAGGAGACAGTGGGAGCAGGGAGGAGGGTTCTCACCAACATCTGCCTAGGAGCCTGGTGGTCACCCTTGGTTAGGGCTGGCTGGGAAGGGGGCCTGGCTGCCTCTTCCAGCCCCTGCACAATCCCTCACAGCCTTACAGAGGGATTTCTTCCTGCTGGATGTTAAGGTCCAGATCCACCTCCCAGCCCTTTTTAGGGTGCTGAGCAGATAGTGCTGAGCTCTTTGGTGACCCCCTGCAGCCCCCTGTGGTCTCCCACCACTGTTGGGTCCTGCCTGAGCACCCCACCTTGTTGGAGGGCAGCAGCAGAGGCCACTGGTGTCCTTCAGGCAGCAGGTCAGAAAGAAACTGGGGGCACCAGGCATGGATGAGCTTCCAGATTACTCTTATAAATGGTCTCAGAGAGCATCAATCACACTGTCCCCAAGTCACCTCCCATGGGTTGCTGCCTGCACAGTGTGGTGGCCACATGCAGGCTCCACAGGGAAGCAGGGCAATGCTCTGCCCCTGCTCATGGTGAGTATCTGCAGGAGGGAGGAGGTGTTTTAATACATCCAAATGAAAAGAGCCCCAAGTGACACCCCACAAACAACCCAGGCCTTGTGATGCTGCACCCCAACTGCAAGGAACCCCACAGCCCTCCCTCCCAAACACTACAGCCTTGCCTGGTAAAATGGCATTTGTTACCAGGGCCACACCTCTGAAAAAAGACTCAGTGGCTTAAGATATCTGCCAGTTCTGAGTGACACTCTGCCTTCTCCTTTTGCTCTTCAGGGAGGTGACTGGCTGCTAAAATGAAATCTGCTGGGGCAGAAAAGGGAAGTGGCAGGGCAGTCATGGTCTGGGTTCAGTGTCAAGGGCAGCTCTGCTGCTCACACACCCCAGAGGCTTCACTATAGCTATTTACGGGGACTGCAGAGGGTTGAGGGCACAGGAGGAGCCCATAAACCACATTTAAAATCAAACTACTGCCTTACACTCCTCCAAAGGAAGGTTGCTGCAAATGCCACTGGGCAGCCCCACGTTTATAAATCCAAGCATGCTGGGAATAAGCAGCTCTTTCCTCAGCCCAGCCTTGGAATACCAAGGCCAGACCATTCCAGGCTTATGCAATGCTACAAACAACGGGCTCCTCAGCTTCACCTGCTCCTTCCCATTTGTAAGGACTTTGCAGCCTGGACAAAGAACAAACTTTGCATGTACAATTTGCCTCTTGAAATAGACCTGAGCTGCTTTTCCAAGCCAAAAAGCACTGAATCATTTATAGCACTTGCTGGCTAGGGAGAGAAGGCACTGGGTGCCAACACAGGGCAGCCTTGCTTTGTTAGCAGCATCCACTGTCAGGCTGGGGTTATTCTTTGGCTCATTTTCTTGAAACACAGGAAGAAACTCAAGCCTGCAACTTAACAACCATGACTGTTACTTAAAGCAGCATTTCTTCAAGCACAACTATTTTATCTAGCAGGCAAGACCTGTATCAAGTGCCTTCTCAAAGCACTCTGCTGTTGTGTTTTTCATTTGGTGTTGCAAAGCAGGCAAGCACTTGAAGTAGTTGATTTTACTACAACCCTTCTAAAGGGCACTGGACTGGGAAGGAGTCACATCCCAGTCACTTGCTGGGACAGCTGGCCCCACTGTACCTGGACAGTGAGAGCTAAAGTTGTCTGTATCCTCTACCAGAAATTCATTAATTTGCTGATTACTACTGCTCCATGCCCTGGACCCCAGCCTGCAGGAATTCCTGTCTCCATGTCACTGAGTACATCTGGATTTACTCCAGCAGAGGCTGGTCTCCTTGATGGTGACCTTCAGTGTCCAGAATGGGCCTTCTGCTGGCTTCCTCCCTCTACCTGTTTTACTCCTCAATTACCTTAGCTTACAGAATATCTCATTTAAAAGTCCAATGTGTGCTAATTTGGTCTGATCTTTATTACTTCTTTCTCATTAATTAAAGTAAGGCTCAACAACAGTCCCTGGAACACCACTGGTGCTTCCTGCAAGCCACCATGCAGCAACTTCACTGGTATTTGTGGTACTTACCAGTATAAACCCCTCACTACACCCTACTTCCCAGGTTCCCTGCTTCCAGAAGACTTTCACAGGCATCTGCCCATACCTAGTTCACTGTCAACCACACTCCTGTCACCTGCTGGTCCTAGTGCTGGATCCTGTGGTTGACCATAAGCAGCAATGCAGATCTCTACTCAGCTTTTGACATCAAGAAGCTTTTACATCTCCTCCATGGACAGGAAGCCAATATGGACACATAGCTACAGGAATCAGGGCAGACAATGCTCACAGAAGACCTCAAAGGGTCGCTGGGGTTTTCAAACATAACTCTGAGTCTTCAGATTGTGATCCAGCTCATTTCAGGGGTGCTTGTAAAATGATTTAGGATTGAAGGTAACAGAGGCAGTGGCAACTCACCTGTCAGCAGATCCCCCTGCTATTTTACTTCCATCTGGGGACCAAGAGCACCTCAGAAGATTCTAAAATAAAAGAACAATTACAGATCTATTTCCAGAGGAAGATTTGGTTTTCCTCTTCTACTTGAATTAAAATCACCCTGAGACTTTAAATATCACGAGCACTTCCCTTTCAGAAGATGAGAAAGTAATTACAGATTCAGTTTTACTGCTGGAAACATTCAGTGCCTTGTTATTTCACACAAAGTAGATCGTAAATGTAGAAAATACTTAATTTACAGCTAATTATGGTTGAACCAAGCAAAGAAATCTTCTTACTGCAGCTTTAATTGGAATCCCACTTTGTGCGTTAATCTTTCTGTGAGTCCTTATTAAAGCCTTTCTGGTTTAAACTCGGATTGAAAAAAATATTTCTGGAGAAGTTAAGAGCAGCAGCATTTTACAAACAACCACGTTTGGATCTGCAGTGCACTCACCTTTTCAAAATTATGTATGTTCCCCTGAAAAATCTTCACACATCTCTCTTTGGGGGCAAAGGGCCGCACATCCCAGATGCGAACTGCAAGAGAGAGGTCCCAGGCATCAGCTGAGAAAGGCAGGGACAGGGCAAGGGCAGTGCTGGCAGCCTTCCCTGTCCCAGGAAATGCAAAGACCTGCTCATGCTCCTCGTTTCCTTCATGCCTAGGTTTCCCCAGAAGCATGTAGGTGTGCCTACATGAGCATTTGCTCAGCTGAGCACCCCCCGCAGGACACAGGCGGTTTGGAGGCGGTGCTGTCACTCCCTGCTGTGGGGACACATCCAAACCCCCCCAGCGGGAGCCAGACTGCAACTGCCTTCAACTGGCTGCCCAGATTGTGCCCCCACTGCCCTCTGGGAGAGGTGACAAACCCTTCTGATGCAAAGGAGGTGACTGTCACCAGTGTAACAAGAATTGCAGCTTTATCTCTGGAGCCAAACTCCTTTCCAAAATGCCATGCAAAGCCACCAGGAGGGAGCAGCATCTGACAGCTCTGCTGTCCCCCCCCCCCAGGAAGGATGTACCTGTGTTGTCCATGGCATTGGAGAGCAGGTAGGAGCCTTCTGAGCTCAGGCTGAGGCCAGTCACTGAGTCTGCATGTCCCCTCATGGTGTAGGTGAGCTTGTTCTGGCGAAGGTCCCAAACCTGTCAGACACAACATTGTGGTTTGGTGAAAATATCAGACTGCTGGAAAGGCTGTTGCCAAAGTGTCTCACATGGGTACTGATCAGGCAGCTGATGGCATCAGCTTTCTATCTCAGGGTCTGGATGGCTAAAAGATAATGCTAGAATTGTATACACTGTGTATGGAAAAGGGAATTTGCCCCTTAGAAGACTTCTTAACTATTGTATCCAGACACCAAGGAGTTACACATCAGCAGCTCCATTAGCACAGGAATCCCTCTGCACCTGGATACAGCTCCCAGATTCCACTGACTCATGGCATAGAGCAGCAGTTGTTCAACCTCCAAAATTTCACACTAAGCATTTGTTCGGCTGAGCACCCCCCGCAGGACACAGGCGGTTTGGAGGCGGTGCTGTCACTCCCTGCTGTGGGGACACATCCAAACCCCCACAGCGGGAGCCAGACTGCAACTGCCTTCAACTGGCTGCCCAGATTGTGCCCCCACTGCCCTCTGGGAGAGGTGACAAACCCTTCTGATGCAAAGGAGGTGACTGTCACCAGTGTAACAAGAATTGCAGCTTTATCTCTGGAGCCAAACTCCTTTCCAAAATGCCATGCAAAGCCACCAGGAGGGAGCAGCATCTGACAGCTCTGCTGTCCCCCCCCCCCAGGAAGGATGTACCTGTGTTGTCCATGGCATTGGAGAGCAGGTAGGAGCCTTCTGAGCTCAGGCTGAGGCCAGTCACTGAGTCTGCATGTCCCCTCATGGTGTAGGTGAGCTTGTTCTGGCGAAGGTCCCAAACCTGTCAGACACAACATTGTGGTTTGGTGAAAATATCAGACTGCTGGAAAGGCTGTTGCCAAAGTGTCTCACATGGGTACTGATCAGGCAGCTGATGGCATCAGCTTTCTATCTCAGGGTCTGGATGGCTAAAAGATAATGCTAGAATTGTATACACTGTGTATGGAAAAGGGAATTTGCCCCTTAGAAGACTTCTTAACTATTGTATCCAGACACCAAGGAGTTACACATCAGCAGCTCCATTAGCACAGGAATCCCTCTGCACCTGGATACAGCTCCCAGATTCCACTGACTCATGGCATAGAGCAGCAGTTGTTCAACCTCCAAAATTTCACACTATTCTTTCCCAAAGAGTCACTGCCTTCCATGGGGCAGAAGGAACAGATCTCACGTCAGTGCTACACTTAGGGATGGCCCTCTGACAAGCACATGCTCTCCATGGCTGGGTAAGGCTGGAGCCCAAGACTAAAAGCACAGTAAGACAGACTGAACCACAGGACTGTCAGAAGCTCAGTTACCAGCTGAATGAAACATTGAGCTCACTCTTAAATAAGAACTTTCCACACTAGCAGGTGACTAAGCAAACTGGAGCAGAGGGCAGAGACTGTGGATGTGTCACCACATTTACTTTGGTTTACCTCATATATGGCTTTAGAGTCTGAGGGCTGGGCACAGGCTGGCAGAAGAGCCAGCAGACCACATTGGCTCCAGCAATGTATGACAGCAGCACTGGGATGCCTGGCCAGAAATGCCAGGGCTGCCCAGGGTGTCACGTGGCAAAGAGCCCTGGAGCAACTCCCTGAGTTTGTTGGCCCTGTACCAACAGGGAGGTCACATACTGTGGGACCACATGGCTCTTGTGACTGTAAAATTAACCAAGAGGCCTTCATACTTGTCCTTGACCAAGGCAAGATGTGACAAGATGGAAAAGGTGCACGAGGCCATAGAGGCTCAGGAGGACAAGGGTGTCCCAGGGTGTCCTACCTTAATATCGTTGTCGATGCCTCCAGATATGATCTGATCACTGGTGTCATTGAAGGTGACAGCCAAGACCTGGTATGTGTTCTGGAATGTCTGGACAGCAGCTTTTTTCCTGATATCCCACAGCTGAAAAGCACAGCAGTTGGAAAACTTGAACAGAGATATTTGATGATAAAATTCCAGGGAGCTGCACAGATCCTTGGCAGAGACTCCAAATCTTCTCCTGAAATCCCTTCTTTTAGAGGTCTCTATAAAAACCAGGGCAAGAGCCTGGTGTGGTTGGAGCAAGGAGTGCAGGGGAGGAAGAAAGGCCAGCATGTGAGATGTCATTAACAGCTTGCCCTTTCCCTCTTGACCAGCACGAACAACTGAGCAGAGGAACCTTCTTAATCCGCTCTCACCAAGAATTATAGGAACCGGGAGCAGCCACATTTTATTTCCAATTTTTTAAATTCTGAACTTAAAGTTACTAGATAATGAAATCATCAGAGTAACAAAGGGCTGATTTTAGCCCACTTAAATGGCAAACCCCTCCAACATTCTTTCAGACCACCTCCTGACACTGACCTTGACCGTCCCGTCGTCGCTGCCGGTACAGACCAGCTGCGGTCCCCGCCGCGCCGGGTAGCAGGAGTTGACAAAGGACGTGTGGCCCTTCAGCCTCTTCACCCTCTCTCCAGTCTCACTGTCCCACACAGCCACGGTTTTGTCAGTGGATGCTGAGAAAAGCATGCTGCAAAGAGGAATTGCCACCATTTTTGGAGACCATCCTCCCCTCCCACGTTTTTTACTCTCAAGTTCTGTGGGAAGAATCTCCCCCGTGTGCTAAGACAAAGGTGGTGTCTCAGGGGAGGCTGACTGACAGCAGGGCAGCTACACTGGAGGCACCCCCACTAAAGCCCACTTTTAAACACATATGGACTGGTTTTTCACCTCCTCAAACACTCTCTGGGATGAGCATGAGGAAAGCTCAGATGCAACAGTGGAACAGCCTTTTAAACTAACAAATATCTCACTTGTTTTCCTTCCCTCCCCAGTCTCTCCCAAACGACCAACACTAACTTCCTCATGTTCCTCAAGAAGGGCATCAGTGGGTGATGGGCAACTCCAGATCCTTTGCTCAGTCCCAAGCAGGCATCACTCCTGACCTGGGGAAGCCACACTGCAAGTGCTCACTGTGTGAGGGCTGAGCAGGGGCACTGACAGGTGATCTGTGGGGGCTGCAGCCAGAAGGAAGCACCTTCCTCTGGAACAGGCTGGGTCCTGGGAGATGCCCACACAGGCTGTACCTGCCATCTGTGTTATAGTGCAGCTCCATGACTGCCCCGCTGTGTCCCTTCAGGGTGGCAAAGTTGTCACAGTCCCCGTAGACATTCCACAGCACTGGGGGGAAAAAGAAGGGAGAGGTAAGGACACACAGACACAGCTCCCTGCTGTGGATGGAGCCACTCTCTGGGAATTCAGCAGAAGGAACTATGCCCCATTGCTACTACCCAGCCTGGAATGTTCTATAGTAATGAACAGCATCATGTGAACCCCAGAAGGACCGAGATGGTTTGAGCCCATTTATGGTTTTACATCCATCTGAGTCCATGAAGAACAGCAATAATCTTCACCTCAGCAAGGCAAAGCATCAGAACTGTTTCTGCAGATTGCTGCAGTCACACAGACCCACAGGTACCCCTGTGAGGGACCTGGGAAGGCAGGCTGTGACCAGCACAGTGTGTTACCAGCCCCACATGAGGACAGTGACGGCCCAGAGGAGCAGGAAGAAGTTGCTCTCCCCTCCAGGGGAAGCACTTGGCACTGAGTATCCAGCAAACTGAGGGCTGAGGTCACAGAATGTGTTAAGGGACTTTAAAGGTCATCCAGTCCCACCCCCTGCATGGGCAGGGACACCTCCCACCAGCCCAGGTTGCTCCAAGCCCCATCCAACCTGCCCTTCCACACTGCCAGGGATGGGGCAGCCACAGCTTCCCTGGGCAACCTGGGCCAGGCTCTCACCACCCTCACACACAAGAATTTCCTCCTAAGATCTGAACTAAATCCTGCCCTCCTGCAGTTTTAATCCATCCCCCCTTGTCCTCTCCCTCTCTGCCCTTGTCCCAAGCTCCTCCCCAGCTTTCCTGGAGCCCCTTCAGGCCCTGGAAGGAGCTCTAAGGTCTCCCTGGAGCCTTCTCTTCTCCAGGCTGAACATCCCAACTCTCCCAGCCTGTCTCCAGAGCAGAGCTGCTCCCTTGGATCATCCCACTGGCCTCCTCTGGACTCTCCCCAGGAGCTCCATGTTCTTCTCCTGTTGGTGGCTCCAGAACTGGACCCAGCACTCCAGAGGGCATCTCAAAAGAGAGAACCACCTCCCTGCACCTGCCTCAAACCCACCACAGCAGTGGCTCAGATCCCAGCAGCCCCAGCCCAGGACTCACAGATCAGCCTGTCGAAGCCAGCAGAGGCCAAGGTGTTGCCATTGGGGTGGAACTTGCAGCAATACACCTCCCCCTCGTGCCCCGAGAGCAGCATGATGGGGGCCTGCAGGGAGGAGCAGCGCGGGGGGCCCTGCAGGAGGCAACAGGAGAGCAGGTGAAGGGACAACACAAGGGGAACCCCCCAGGGTATGGCCAGGACCCCCTCATGGGTCTTCCCACACACCCTTGATCCCTCAGGGGCTTTCCCTCACATCCCACCATCCCCTCACATCCCATCATCCCCTCACTCAATCATTCTGGTTGGAAAAGACCTCTAAGATATCAAGTTTAATCCTTCCCCCAGCCCTGCCCAGGCCACCCCTGCCCCATGTCCCTCAGCACCATCTCCAGGGTTTTGAAACCCCTCCAGGGATGGGGACTCCACCACTGCCCTGGGCAGCCTGGGCCAGGGGCTGACAGCCCTTTGGGGAAGAAATCATGCCCAATACCCAATCTAAGCGTCCCCTGGCACAACGTGAGGCCATTTCCTCTTGTTCTATCACTTGTTCCTGGGCAGCAGAGCCCGACCCCCCCCACACACACCTCCCCGGGCCCTTCTATAACCCCACAGACCCCATTCCCCACAAAGAACCTCCTCAAACC